AGGAGCCAAAAAATATTTATTATTGAGAAAGACGAGATGGTGAATCATTTAATCCAAGACAAAACTGGAGCTGTTGGGGAGCATCTCCCTTTACACCAAAGTTTTGTTTGTGGGGTCTGAACTGGTTGACTGAGGCAAACCAGCTGACTGTTCTTCAGCACTTCTCAGGGCAGACACACTCTTCTCTGCCAGCAGACCCATGGGGTAGCAGTCTCACAGGGATAAAAACTCCATCTTGGAGCTCCCACCTCCACAAGCATATCTGAATTCAGAGGACAATATCTGCTGAGAGGCCAAGATGGTTTTCAGTGGAGATCTGAATTAGGGCTGGAGCTGATTCAACAGTTCTGGCAGAGCATTCACAGAATCACAGAGTAGCTGGGCTTGGAAGGATATCTGGAGATCACCAGACCATGGCAGGGCCACCCAGAGCAGGTGACACAGGAATATGTCCAGATGAGTTTGGAATGCCCCCAGAGAGGGAGACTCCATTCCCTCCCTGGGCAGCTGTTCCAGTGCTCTGCCACCCTCTGTGGAAAAATGTTCTTCTTTATGTTAAGTTTCTTGTGTTTTAGTTCATGGCTATTGCTTCTCATCCTGTCACTGGCCACCACTGAAAAAGTCTGGCACCATCCTCTTAACACTCCTTTTGAGATATTTCTCTGCAGGAAAAGTTTTCCAAGTCAGATGGGTCGCTCTATTCAGTCCTGATCAAGCGTAGAAATAAAAACCTTGGCTGATTCTCACAAAAGTTATTTTAATTTAATTTTGGGATGTTTTGAGCTGGTATAAAGGCATCCCCTAACCACGTGTATGAGACAGCCAGTATAAATTTTGAACCCCCTCTGTAGTTACATGTGATTCCCTCTCTAGTCCTCTCTTTACATTCCCCTTGTTGGCCGGGCAGCTCCCTTCAGCAGTATCTGTGTTCTCTGCTATTGACTCCAGATTTGAAACTGTGCCACTCTTTAGTGCTTCTTTATTCCTTACCCTCTGAAAAATATATTTCTGACTCTCCTGAGTCCTGTTTTCACTAAACCCTCATTGAAGTGATTAGAGTCAAATAATTCTAGAAACATATATGAATGATACTATGGAAAATAAGGTGAGATGGTTTCCCTCTTCAGCAGTCCACTCAACACTTTTGTACTTAAGACCAAGTATCTGACTGAAATATCTTTGACTTTTTTTCATTTTGAGCTGTCATATTATTTAATCAGGCAGAAATGCAGTTCTGACAGTGGACTTGATAAAAACAGCATCCCAGGTTTCCATTTATGTTGTGGCTCCAGTTCACATATGCTGTTTAGAAAAGAAATATCCTATTACAGATATATTTTTGAAGCTTGAATGTGCAAGCCAAGCTATTGTCTCTCCTCATTTCTCTTCATCAATTAATGGTTGTGCAAGTCACCTTTGGAAACCCTTTGTTGTCTTCTCCTGTGTGATATCTCTATTACCATGAAATGTGTTCATCAGCTTCCTCTTTTTCTCTAACTGGCTGACTTTGCCAATGTACCTGCCAAAATCAATCTGGTGTTTCTCCTCACAGCCTCACTGCCCTTCAGAGACAGATTCAGTGTGGTATTTTTGGTATTTTTGCACCGGGGGTTTGTAAGAGAGAGAAGGCAGTGCTTGCCAACCCTGCTGCTCCAGCATGGAATTAATGCTGGCTTAGGTGAGTTGGGGAAATGCACCAGCAAATATCAGAAGAGAATTCTTCTGCAGTTGGAAGCAAAAATAGTTTAAATCTGAAACTCAGGTTCCTCTTTGCAGCCATCTAGATCCACATAACAAGTGGAAAGTGCCTACATTATTCAAGTGACAGGCTAAATATTTATGATGTAGCAGTGACATTTCCACTCATGTAAGTTGGACAGTTTCATTCCAACCTCTTCGTATATTAAATGAATACCCATTGCAGTCATCCCATGTTTTTTCTCCTGTTATGAGTTTAACACATTTTTACCTCTCCAAAAAAAAATCTCTTTCCGTGTCAAACCACAAAAAAAAAAAAAAAAAAAAAAAAAAAAAAAAAATTCCAGTCAGCAGTCAGCATACAACTTCTGTTTGAATTGCTCACTGCTTCCTGACATAGAATTTCCATAAGATTTTCAAAGACCCATGGTCTAACTTTGTTGAAAGCACAAAATGAGTGTAGAAATTTTAAGAAGAATTCTAATAAGATTTTTTCATTCTAAGAAGGCTTTTGAAAAACTGCAAAAACCACTTCTTTCTGCAAGTTAGCACATTCATAACCCAAAAACTTTGCCTGCTTCAGAGTTTAGTCTCTGTGATTGAGAATTTAATTTTTTTAAGTAATCCCATTTATTTTTCAGTGGTTGCTCTGGGGGCAAGAAGTATGGGGAATTCTTTACCCAATATGTTCCATTGAAAATACAATCAAGAAAATGTCATGTGCTACATCATTCAATCTAAACATTGCAAGCATCCTCTGCTTTCCATGACCACAATGAAAATTAAGAATATGCTTTATCCCTCATTAGCTGCTTGGTGTCTTTCTCTAAGCTAAAAGAAATATGCACTCTAAAGTAGACTTTAATTTGCATTAAATATCAGATGACTTTCTGACCTAGGCAGCCTGCTCCAGGCTGAATAGGGGGGTGGACCAGGCAGCCTCTCAGATCCCTTCCAACCCCATATTCTCTGTGAGCTTGTGAAAAAAAAAAAAAATCCCAATTACTCCCCAGGAAGGCCTCATGGAGTGGCTGGCACACTGGCACACCCTGAATGAAGACTCTAGTCCTGGTGGTTTAGTGGAAAGCACAAGGGAGGATGTCTCCTGACGAGCTCCTCTCAGATCAATTTGTTCCCTGCTTTCCTTGGGTGGCTGTAAAGCCCAAGCTGCTGTTTGCTTTAGGCTGTCCCACTGTTTATTCACATTCAATGGTCTGTGCATTGCTGAATGATTACAGTCTCAGGGCTCCACTTCCCACAGGCTCATACTGGCTGCAATAACAGCTTTGGGGAAGGTAATGTGAGTTCAGAGCAAGGAAATCCAGTTTCTTTTTCTTGCTGCCTAAATAAGATGTTATATTTTAAAAAGCATGTATTGGCTTTGAAGAAAAAAAATAAATACACCAAGGAGAATTTTCCAGCTGTCCTGACTATTCAGGTATTATATTCTTCTCAGAAGCTGAGAACATTTAACCTCCTTGCAATACCAGTATGCCCTAATAATATGTGCCACTCGTCTGTTTTGCAATTGAAGCAAACTGTGTCTTGCCTGTTCTGCTCCAAACCCCATTCTTCTCTTTCCTTTACAACAGCCTCTTGTATATCTCAGATTTCATTATATCCTTTCTTCAGTCCTTGTTCAGGTTACCTGATCTCATTCCCACTTTCCCTGCAAACCACCCTTTCCAACTGCTGGTTGATCAAACTGCTCTGTACTAGACTGTCTCTGTGAAACTACATTTCCTTGAGGTATCATGTCCAAAAGTGGGCACTTTTCCATGTGAAACCTGCCTAGTTGGGAACAAAAGTAAAGACGCTATCTATTTTTCAGGCTCTAGTTTTGTTCCTGCAACACCAGACCATATTTGCCCCCTTCTGAATAACTTATTTTCATCGATGGAGCTCCTGCTTGGAATCTACTGCAGCCCCCAGATCCACTTTTACATAACTGCTTCATACCAGAAGTTTGCCAACCTAAATTTCTGAGGGACATTGTTTCTGCCCAACTATAATACTTTCCACTTCTCCTTCCTCTTTTTCTTATCACACTTGATCAAGTCTTGCTTTTTATCATTGATGGGTGTGCAGTGCCAAGTCTGTGGAGCCTAAAGCCAGAAAAAAAGCAAGAATTATAAAGGAAATTGGTGACTATATAAGTTGTCATGCTCCTCTCTAAGGAGTTGGGACTCAAAAAAACAGAGCTATGTAATTCAGGTTGGAATGGCACTGAATGCTTTGGAACAGGCCATGCCATGTGAAAAAGACCCAGCTTTTGATAATGGCTTTGCATGGACCATATTATCCTGGGGGTTATTGATACTTGTAGCTGTGAGGAATAGTTGTGAATTCTGGCCAAGCCAGTAAGAATTGAAAAGTCCTTGAACAGGGAGAACCAAACCTATCAAGCACCCTATTAAGTGTTCTTCGAGCAATCTTCCACTTTGGAGAAGGTTTCTCACTTCAGTGGCATTTCCCTCTTGAAAGTTACCAGAATATATAGGGTTTACTCTGTTTCTACAACTATTTCCTCCATCAAGCCCACTTTGCTGACTCTGTTCTTCTCCCTAGTTTGCTTCAGAGATGGATCAAGGGACTCCAGTAACATTTCTTCATGCAGAATCTGACATAACAGGGCTCACCTGCTTGGCATGTAGGTATTGTGGGACTAAAATGTTAAATAAAGGGCTGAGACTTTCCTCAGACTCATAAACACTTTGAAAAATGACTTAAAAATATGGCTGCTGTAAATATCTTTTATATGTCTAACACAAGCAAAATGAACCTGCTTGTCAATAAAAGGATTGCGAAGTAGCAGAAGAAATCAGAGAGGGATGAACAAGTTATTTTTAAAAGGAAAATAAATCATGTCCTATGAAAATGCTGTGATATAAACATGCCAAAAGCAAGGAGGAATCTGATGAAATATGTTCAGGACACAGGAGAAGTCTATCAAGGGGGAAGGAAGACTGAATCAGGACTGTTTATCAACATCATCTGAGAAACTATGTTACAGGAAAATTACAAGTTATCATTTCAAAATAAGGCAACTAATTTCAATGCATACCTATAAGTCATCATAAAAAAAGATATCTTGCTTTCAGATATGCAACAAATCAGGAGATGAACTCAATTGTTTCTTAAACAAAGATTGTCTCCCTCTCTGTCATTCAGTATTTTTCATCCCAAGGCTTTAAGAAAGATCTGACTGATACTGCTGTCTCACCTGGCAGTGATGTTAAGGGACAGCAGAGATATCTCTGGGGAATTTTAAACTTCCAAAATAATTTTTTGTGTTTTTACAGAGCAGAATTGCTGATTCTGAGGATACCCTCCTGTTGGTAGAAATACAACATGCCAAACCAGAGGACGGAGCTCCAGCAATAATCATTGATTGGGACCAAAGGGACCAAAAAAAAAAAATCTTCCCAAAAAAACCCCAAACACCAGGAAAAGAAAAGCATGAAAAAGCTCATATATTTTAAATAGAAAAGAGATTCTAAAGTATCATTTCCTAGACTTGAGGAAACAGGAAGATGTTTCCAGCTTTCTGTCCCAGTGATGGCATCAGTCCTTGGGCAGACATGAGGAGCTCTGATATTTTTTAGCTCTCTGATTACAGCTACATGTAAGTAATTATTGTTCTTAATTAATGTTCTGGATTTCTTGAACACTGATGGGTGAAATCCTGGCCATAAGTTCAATGGGAAACTTCCCTAAACCACTTATTTTCACTATACCTTCCAACCATGTGGCTATGCCAGCTGCTGGAGGAACTTCCCAGCCACATTTCCTACACACTTTCCCTGTCCTCACATCCATTTATTAAGCTTTGAGAAGACTTTTTTTTATGCAAATCTTTAGATCCCATAATGACTAAGAGAAAAATTAGGACATGAGTGCAAATTCTTCTGTCCTAATGAATTAGAATAGGAAGAGGTGGTAAAGATTATAGTATATTCTAGTAAGGATTTGTTTGATTTATAAGATGTAGCAGGAGAAACAGTTTAAAATGTATTTAGGAGTTTTCTCTCTATTGGCGATTAGGTTCCCCCATGCAGCATGTTTAAATAAAATATAAACATATCTAAAAAACAACATAAAACAAAGTCATCTTTCAATCCTATCTATATGAGCTAGAGCTAGGTGGCAGGTCTCACACCTCAAGAGAAATTTAAACTCTGTTATCTTGACAGCCAAATGTTACCAGTGAGACAAATTAGCTGTATATCCCAAAAATGTACATGCACACATGTTTTTTCTGTACTCAGTGGCTTGCAGAAATGTGTCTGCACTAACACTTTTGAACAGCAAGGAAAATTTAAAAAAAAAAAAAAGCTTTTGAGATAGGCCTTCCAAATTCCTGCTGTTTCATTTGTGTAGTAAATTCTTCTGCTCTGAAGGTTACTGATTTCTCTAAGAAGTAAAAAGAAAGGAAGGTGGTAAGAAACATTAATTAGACTGCTGCTTCATTACAATCCTATTTGTTATAAGATCATATTTGAAGAATGAAGCTTATTACTGAATAGCATTTATTAATTGTACAGCACAGAGTTGAACCCTTTTCTAACTGGGACAGTCTGAAAAATGGAGGCTAAAAGGGAGACAATGCATTTAAACTGTGTCAAAACAAAGTCAGGTACACCAGGATCCTAAAGGAAAGTTATAAAATCAAATTATTTTCAGATTCAGCTGGTTCTTTGTAGAAATTCAATACACAAGTGCTTGATAATACCTGACATTAAAAAGAGGCTTATGCTGTAAAATTTAAAGAAGGCTTTCCCAAAAATGCACTCCACCACCATGAGCCCACCAGGCAGGGACTGTGCTCGGAGAGACTCTCCTGTATTGCAAATGCAAGCGAACCCAATGGGAAGAAATGACCATGTCTGACTCAATTCAGAAGGCTGAATTATTTCTTTATTATAACTATGCTAAAATACATTAATATGCTATATAAAAGGAGGATACTAAAACTACATACTACTTTCTCTGACTCCAACACAACTCATGACCCTCTGAGAGCCGAGCCCCAGGTGGGTTGGATTGGCCATCAGGCTCAAACAATCCTCACCTGAAGTGAGTTCTTATCATTAAAAGCTGGGAAAAGGACATTACACAGAAGCCCTAGTCATATTTGAGGTCTCTGCAAGGATGATTAATGGTGATACAAGTCAAAATTTAAGGCAAAAGGGGAGAGATCAGAGCCAATTTCTGTATGCTGGAGTACCGTGTTTTCTCAGGACTGGATCTCTGCGGTACACAGAAGATGACTTAAAATGTGAATGCTGACAGGCAGCTGATAATGGTCTGTACGTGAGAGAATTTCTGAAACTGAACTTGTGCACTCCCTGGCACAACCCTGCTACTGGCTGGCAGCAACCAGGAAGGTCTGGTTGTAAATTTTGACAGCATCTGGACAAAACGAAGGTGACACATCCTGAATCCTTTGAGTCATTCTGCCGGTGAAAGTACCAGGAGCAAGCAAGGCTTCAATCTGCCTGAGGCACAAGGTAACAAAGCTGTCCCTGAGCCAGCAGTGTGTCCTGGGGGGACAAATGGGATCCTGGGGGCCATCAGGAAGAGCAGTGCCAGCAGCTGAGGGGCGATGCTGCCCCTCTGCCCAGCCTGTGTGCACATCTGCAGGGCTGTGTCCAGCCCCGGGCCCCTCAGCACAGCAGGGCCATGGAGCTCCTGCAGCGGGGCCAGCGGAGGCTGCCGAGAGGATTCGGGGCCTGGAGCAGCTCTGGCAGGGAAAGGCTGAGGGAGCTGGGGCTGTGCAGCTGGAGAGGAGCCCCAGCTGAGAGGGGCCCTCAGCCCTGGGTGTCCCTGGCTGCAGGGAGGGCTCCGAGCAGGGCCCAGGCTCTGCTCTGGGGCCCAGCAATGGCACCAGAGCCACGGGCAGGGACTGAGCCCAGGAGGCTCCACCTGGGCAGGAGGCACAGCTTCTGTCCTGGGCAGGGACCCAGCCTGAGCAGATTGTCCAGAGAGGCTGGGGAGTCTCCTCACTGGGGATATCCCCGACCCCTCTGGACACAATCCTGTGCCCTGTGCTCTGGGATGGCCCTGCTGGAGCGGGGAGTGGGACCATGACCCACCGTGGTCCCTTCCAGCCTGAGCCATCCTGGGATTCTGTGATATCCTTTCCAAGGCTGCAAAACCATGAAAATTACCCATAATTTTCATACAAGCATTTGGATATCAGAATGTCTACTTTGCTGACCAAAAAGGGAGGGAAAGATGCAGAAATCTCTGTTTCCCTGCAGAAGAGCAGGAAAAAACATGGATAAACTCACCTCCCACCAAAAAGACACAAACTAATGCTTTCCTTCGTGATGCTTAAAGGAGCTAACTGACTAGAAATGGAATGAAGTGAAATGAAATGACATGAAATGAAATGATGAAATCTTGCTACTGCCTCTGAATTATTTTCACTGTTGTTGTTGGACACGCTCTTAAAGCTAGATCTGATCTGTTCTTCCAGATTAGAATTTCCTGTGATAATTTATTGCTCGTTTAAAAATGCAGGTGTATATTTTTTACTGTCACTGGGCTTTATGCTGCCAAATTTTACCAAGGGTAAAATAATAGGTCAGTTTGCAAGCAGACACTACCTCAGTGGCACACGGTTGGTCTTCCTCCTCATTTTCATCTGGCTCAGGTAACATGGTCATCCTTGCCTTAGAGCACTAAAACAGTCAATTTATAAGGAAAACCAAAGGCATGTTCCTTAATGTTATTTAACTGACAAAAGAGCTGGAGTTTTGGCACTTTTTGCTGCTCCCTCTTCATAAGTGGCATTTTGCCAGCTGAAATATTAAATTCACCATTTGCAAAGGTGTAAGATCAAAAGGACAATTGTCAGTATGCAATAAGATGTCTAGCTGTTTTTTTAATATTCACAGATCCAATCAGCATCAATTCTTTGCAAAAAAAAAATCTCTTCTGGCAATAGGTCTAGTTAGTTTAAAATGATACACAGATAATTAATTTTAAGGATCAGAGTTTGGGTCATGGAAACTTGGGAGCAAATTCTTTGGGAAGAACAAGTTTTCCTACAGATTCATTTTAAAAATTTATTAAAGAATCCCTGACATCTGTGTTGGTTAAATGATAAAACAGATTGCAAGAATAAGAGTGTTTAAAAAACATGTCCTGAGGACACCCTAGGGCAGGGCAGTGACAGCATAATATACTTACTGTCACTGAAAATATCTGAGTAGGATGTTAATTCCTTGAAACATTGTGTACTTAATTAGTGCCCTGGGTCTTCAGGAACTGGCTTTTGTCTATAAGTCTGCAAGCTACTGCATGAACAAAGTGAACTGAACAGTTAATTACAGCTCTAATTAATGGATTCTGTACAAAAACTTGGATTATGGTCCCGAGAGATGACAAATAAGCACAGACCCACTATGTCATCTCCCAGGCTGGCTTCTTTTCCTTGGAGTTTTCCAACTATCCTCTCAGCCCTGGAGCACTGACAGTCACAAGGCTACAACAAAATTAAATTGGCAATTTTAATAACCTTATTTTAGAATGCTGATGAGGCCCTGGCACAGGTTGCCCAGAGAAGCTGTGGCTGCCCCATCCATGGCAGTGTCCAAGGCCAGGTTGGATGGGGCTCTGAGCAACCTGGGATAGTGGAAGATATCCCTGCCCATGGCAGAGATGGGATGGGAAGGGCATTAATGTCCCTTCCAACCCAAACCATTCCACAATTCAAAGTCAAGTTTGGTGTGTGCCACTGAGCATGCATGCTCTGTTCAGATGCAGTAAACAAAAATATATAAGAAAATCTCTGCACCAAAATTTACAGCTGTCTTGAGAAAATTCAATGCCCTATATAAAATAGTATCCAGTATACTAGAAGAAGAAAGTAAGCATATTGTTTTTTTTTTAATATAAGGCATGGAAGAAACAAACACTATAGGGATCAGATTATTTAAAAGTTTTGAAAATGTGAATTGATGAAATTTGTGTTTCAGTTCTCCTGATTTAACATCAATTTGAAATGGAGATGATGTGAATTTATCTGAACCCATTTTGGTTCTACAATAACTATACAGACTTTAACTGAATTTTTTTCTGATTGTTTTTCAGCAGAACTTTTGCCAGTCCCATCCACAGCAGGAAAAACATGCACATGGGCTTACATTTGATGGTGGATATCCTGGGCAACATTTTCTGAGATTATAAAGCCTTTTTACCTTTCAAAGTCTCACAGCAATGCTGGAAAGACAGCAGTGAGCTGGAGGAGAATTGAAGAAGAGAAATCAACATGCAGTGGTTACATCCCAGAGAATTAACTGTCTTATTAGGTACTATTAACAGTATTCTCCAAAGAAAGGTAAGTTTATGAGTCATA